CGTTAAGAGAGGCACAGAGCTATCAACAGATCATCACCTAGTTGTTGGCACGCTGCGCTGTAAGAAATGGAATACGAAGATCTGGTGACAGAAGCAACCAGCGAACCAAATGGGAAACATTATCTTCTGTGGATGTGAGAGCGAAATTATCAAACAGCAGAGCACGACGATTTGAGCAGATCCCGGTGATGACGGCTGATGTGGAAACCGAGTGGAAGATTTTTGAGACCTGCTATCAAAAATATTGCAATTTAAAGTGAGTTATTCCTTTGCTTCTGGGTCAGAAACAAACTTCCTGTTTTGCTTCAGAGGTTCGACTGGCTGTCAGCAAGAATAAGGCTGCATTCAATGTAGAGCTTGGAAGCAAGGAGCCTTCAACCGGACGCGGTGCGAAAAGGCTGAGAGATCGGTAGCACTGGCCAATTCCATTGATGATTCCTGGGAAAAGTTTTGTGGGGAGGACGAAAGGCTACAGTTGAATTTCTAGGCAAAAAATCAAATATTTTTTCGACCGTCCGGCGACAAATCAAATATTTTATCGAATGAAGAGAAGGCTCAGAGAGCTGAGCGACATGTCCGGTCGGTTTCTTTGGCGATGGAGAGACTCTGTTGGGAATTCTGTTTATTCTAGTAACTACGGTATAACTTGCCTAAAGAGCAGTGAGCAGGGTTGTTAGTCTTTCAGTAAATGAAGTAACAGAAACTTTAAAATGCTTAAAAACTGGCAAGGCTCTTAAATCAACGAAATCCGCCGTGATATGCGTTAAGTTTAGAAGCTTCAGGATTGTTGTAGTTAATACTTTGTTCTCATACTCAGTGACTTCGTCCAAGAGAATGGCTATTGTAGTGGTCATGTTCAAAATGGGCGATCATTGGTATTGCTCCATTTTGCGAGGCATTACCTTATTGAATCTCTCGCGACAGTCTGTGCAGCGGTGTTGGAACGGATATTCTGCAGAATTCCCGATTACTTGATTACAAGAAAAGTAATGTGCTTTCTGAAGCACCTCTGACTAGATTTTTGTTGTACAGGAGGTTGCTGAAAGATTGTTTGACTTCATTAATCCAGTACTTTGTGGACCTGGGGAAAGCCTACTGTCAGATTCGGTGAAACGTGTGGAGTCGATTTCCATTTGTTACGAGCAACCCATTCACTGGCGGAAGGTTGATTGCAGGTTCTGAATTTATACTAAATGGCTTCAGGTAAAAATATTTGAACGTTGCAACTGGTCTCCGTGAAGGGTGCGTTCTCTGCCCTCTTTCATTTGTGTTTTCAGTGGATAGGATAAACAGCTTAAGTCAAGATGACGCGTATATCAGAACAGAAGTTGAAACAAGAAATATGTTGTTTGCAGGCGAGCTTGATTTATTTTTTTCTTCTGAAACTAAAGTTCTGCATTGTGGAAAGAAAACGTTCGCAGCTGATTGCGAAGTGGTCAAAGTGTCGGCAAACGTATCTAAACCCTATGGCGAATACTCCTTGTTAATTTCCTTTCCGGTTGGTTCTATAGATAACCAGAGGAACAGTACAACAGCTTCAGATGCTTACGTACCTGCATGTTTACATAGATGTTTACTGTGATTGTGTTTACTGGTCCTGGTGAATGGGAAGTAGAGACCGACTTGCGAATCACGTGATCATCGGCGTTCTCTGTGAACTATCTTAGCCGGTTGCGACTTAGGCACAGCTAAGTTTGCTAAGCTAAGACGAAACTGTTTGCGTTCAAGTCAGTTCTTAATCTTCATACTCAACTGTTATCCGATTTCGTGGGCTGTTACTGCAATTGGAGTTGCAAGTGACTGAACTGAGCTTTGTAATACGAGTAGCTGGATTCACACGTCTCGACATATTCAGAAGTTCAGATATCCAAGAAGGAATCTTGGCGTAGAGCCGCTGCTTCTTCAGCTTAAGAAATCATAGCTGCGATGATTTGGGTAGCGAATGCTTCGAGAAACGAAGGTGAAAATAGGTACAAGTTGCTCGATGGACGGGCTGCAAGCCTCGAAGTTTCTAAGACTGACTTGTGGAGTGGCTTGACGGATTTTCTCCTTACGTTCTCTTATGTCGAAGCTCACGCTCTGGTGTAAGATTGGGAATATTGACGACAGTGATGCTGCCGCCTCGTCACTGATCAGAAAAAGTGACCAGTGATGCTGCCGCTATCAAAACCTAGACCGATTAACTTTTTAAGCCATGTGTTTCGGTTGGGGATGGCGAAGTCATCTAAAGCGACCTGAATTTTACTTATTTTCTGCTACTTCTTCTTGAACAAGGAATTGACGTTACTTACCATAATTAGACGATTAATAATTCATTGATTTGCAAACAACAGAAAGGCTATATGTTTTGATGACGTTGTTCGAAATCATTTTCGTCTCGTGCATGCACGTTGCTGCTTTCGTTCGTACTGACCTACCTGATTGCGAAGTAAATTCAACTTAAGACATTAAACAAAATTGCAGCCATAGCAAAAATTATGCAGAATGGTTGTCAGCTTGCTGGAACACTGCAGTCTTGCAAATGTATTACAAATACTGTATGTTCGGCTGTCACGAATGAAACCTGTAGGTTAAGGAAGTGAATTGCCGTAAGAGTTCTGTGCAGAACATTGGTCAAATAATCAACTTTTCATCTGCGGAACAGCTTAGTTTAACTCAGCTCCTCTTCAACTCCAACCAATAGTGTAATTGTAGATGTCATGCCACGCTGCAGATCATTTATCGATGTCCTCTGGTTAAGTTCGATCTCTGTATGAAACATACGTGGAATACCGAAAAGATTATTTACTTTGTCAAGTAGCTGGGCATGTAAAGTTAGAGATAACCGCCTGAGCTTTGTCAGAAAATGAACACACAGTCCTGGCTGCAGTACCTATTCTTATCCATCCTAAATCACAAAATCGTTGTGCATTTTCTTTGAACTTTTTAAAAAAAAATGGAAGAATGCCCTGTATCAGGGCTTATACTGGTTAAAGGCGTTCTTTAAAGTTTGTTTGAGAATTTGTCGAGAGGCATTGCAGAAGTTAAATAAGTGATTCACTTCGTGAAAAATGTATCCATTGATCACCAGATTTTTTGATTTTTTCTTTACATTGTAAAGCGGTCTTTAACAACTGACTTGATTCTTAATTTTTCGAAGAAAAAACTGCGCTTCTAAGGCTGTGACATTATTTGGAAACTAACTGTCAGCTGTATGAGAATGAAACTTAATAAGAATAAGGCAAATGTTACAGCAAACCGTCTTTATTCAAAGGTTGATGTATGGCTCAACTGACGCATTAAATGTCTAGCTAATCAACTGCACTAAAAAATTGGGTAACGCGTATATGACGAGTTAGATCAGAAGTACAGATAAAGAACTCTGCTTAAGCAGTGGAAAAATTTGCTTCAAGAAGCGGTTATGATGTTTGTTTATTTATTTCAGGAACGATAGAGAACGGACGGGCTTTGACTTTTTTGGGTAAACTTCGGTTGTAAATGGCTTCCGAAACCGAATCGTACAACAGACCCTCGGTGAAGTTCAAACCTTCCAGACTTGAGGTGCAATAGCCATGTCTTTTTGTGCATCTCTAATTCTTAAAATTCAGTTAAAGGGCAGACTGTCCGATGGCGATAGTACGGATCATGATGGATACCTGAGGACGCCGACGACTCCCGGTCCCTCTTTCCGAGGGGATCGGGAGAAGCATGAGAAAAAGAAGATTGGTCACCGAAGGGTGGACCTTGAAACAGGTCTTGTCACATACAAGAAGGTTGGGTGATAATTCTTCTCGATTACATGTTTCAAGTACATTTGTAGGTGCCAACATCTCAATTGATGGGTGCAATTCAGCTTGGAATATCGAACTCTGTTGGGTCACTGGCCAGCAAGCCGGAACGCGATTTGCTGCTGCAGGATTTTGGTGATACTGTGATTGTCTCTTTTCCGGGGTGGGTATTAGCAACCTAGTGGTCGTTCCTTAAGTCATGCATTTGCATTTGGATACCTGTATTTTTTCAGTGAGGGCAGTCACATCACACCGTCTCATCCGTACAGCGATTTCAAGTTCAAAACTTACGCGCCGATCGCTTTTCGCTACTTTCGAGAACTGTTCAGCATTAAACCGGAGGACTTCTTGGTAAAAACATTTTTATTCGTTGTTCGACTCTACTGTCGTAACGTTTTACAGGTCTCGCTCTGCGCCGAACCATTACAGGAGCTTTCGAACCCAGGCGCCAGCGGCAGTATATTTTACATATCGAACGATGATCAGTTCATCATCAAAACTGTACAGCACAAAGAGGCAGAGTTCTTGCAGAAACTTCTTCCGGGTTACTACATGGTAGTAATCGACTGACGTCTTTTACACTTTACCACCGGGTTTCTTTTAGAATCTCAACCAGAACCCTAAAACGTTGCTACCAAAATTCTTTGGTCTTTACTGCTATCAGGTAATGTCTGCTTCTTAAACAGTTGAGTACTTCTGCTGTGGATCCAGTTGAACTTCTTATAAGAATTTCAAGGAAGTCTGTTTTTGGAGGAGCTGAAAATGTTGAACTCCTTTTCGACTTGTCCACAAATGAAATCTCAAGATGACATCATCTCCTAAAATTCTTATTGTTCATTGCCAGTAGTCTTAAGTCACTAGTAGTAACAAGTCTTCCGATTCATTAGTTATAAATACAAAGTAATAGAAACTACTTTGGTGAATGTCTAGCGTTATGAATAAACAAAATGGGATTTAAGAGAACACTCAAACGGTTATGCGATTAGTTGTTCGCACTTTCGAGTAAATCAGATAACGAATGACCAGACTTCAAATCGCTTCTTGCTCCTGGTTTTCTGACAGGCCATTCAAACAGGCCGCGGTTCGATGGTACCTGAGCACCTACAATATGCCACATGCATGTCGCATCATTGTATCCTCTAGAACAACCTCCTCGCGCTCATCACGAAGGTTGTTTCAGGTATTCGGACTCATATGCTATGACATAAATATCATAAGCTGCTCAGGAGTTTGAGTGTGTTAAATAGCGAATGACTATGGAACCGCTGGATGCTTAAATGCCACTACCTTCTAGGCAAGTAGGAGCAAGAGGGCAGTGTAATAAGATTATCGATCTAATGATTGTTCGAAACGGAAGTTTCAGCTCGTATCCTACGGACCTTCTTCGAGGTAATGCTGGTATTACAGTTCAGTTGTTGTTTGGGCCTTT